ATTCTGATTATTAAGGCCCTTATGTTATCCCGAAAGCGGCGTCCACTCCGGCGCCTTTCCCCAGGGCCCATATCGGGACGACGAGCCGTGCCCTCGATCGCCACATCCTGCTGAGTCTGTAGGAACTCGCAGTCTGGGCCAAAAGACGGGTGTAACTAACGGCTTTGGGGTTCTTTTTTTTTTNNGCTTCAGGTCGGGAATACCATGCTGGCTTTGGGGTTCGGGGTTTAGGGTTTAGGGTGGGGTTTAGGGAAGTTCTGGAAGACATCCTGACCAGTGGCTTTGATTCTGGCCAAGAGAAGGTCTTCTGCTGCTGCTACTTATTTAATTTTATGCTCAAGCTGTTGGATTCACATGTTGGTCTCTGTGCCAAGAATACCTTACAAGAGTGGCGTCGCGTCACTCAAAGCGAAGCTGCGTCTATTTGGAGCTAAGTGCGATGCCGAAACCGATCGTCCTGAGCATCGTAGATTTTCCAGCACCGACGAAAGCAACTTCACCAACTCGCTCTTGCAGCTGTCCATTCGGACGAAGCTGAATCATCAATGTTACATAGCTGCAGCATCTAATGCCTCTGCCACATGTGGCAAACAAAAGCTGTACAATAAAGCTGTACAATAAAGCTGTACAGTGGGAAGAACTCCAAAATTTCTTTGGCTGCAAAGATCGGCAAGAGACGTACCGGTAATGGCACTGAAATGTTCATCAAGACTAGGAGGCCCGGGAGCACGAGCTGCATGCTTTAGATCAGCCCGACAACGGTTGGACTCTGCGAGGGTTCGTGCCGTGGTATCCCTGGCGCGTCCGCGCCTCGGTGGTGGACTGCGCCACGGAGGTCGAATTGACGAGCATCATTGCTGGAATGTTCAGGAAGGAGCGGCTGACCAGCACCACTTCCCCACCTGCGTCCACGAAGCCGATGTCGCTGGAGTGTCTTGAGATTATGCGCAGGCTGCGGGGGATCTGCTGCACACCACAGGGCACATCGCACTGACCATGTTTATGGTCTCCGAAGCAAACCAGCTCGCCACTCGCCTTCACGGCACAAGTGTGTAATTCTGCGGCAGCCACGGCCACCACCGGACCGAGATCGCGAGGCACATCGCACTGACCAAAACCATTGGCTCCGAAGCAAACGAGCTCGCCACTCGCCTTCACGGCACAGGTGTGCACATTTCCGGCAGCCACGGCCACCACCGGACCGAGGTCGTGAGGCACATCGCACTGACCAAAATAATTATCTCCGAAGCAAAACAGATCGCCACTCGCCTTCACGGCACAGGTGTGATATCTTCCGGCAGCCACGGCCACCACCGGACCGAGATCGCGAGGCACATCGCACTGGCCAAATTGTTTGTTTCCGAAGCAAACCAGCTCGCCACGCGCCTTCACGGCACAGGTGTGATGTCCTCCGGCAGCCACGGCCACCACCGGACCGAGATCGCGAGGCACATCGCACTGACCATACAGATTGCTTCCGAAGCAAACCAGCTCGCCACTCGCCTTTACGGCACAGGTGTGATGTCCTCCGGCAGCCACGGCCACCACCGCACCGAGGTCGGGAGGCACATCGCATTGACCAACACTGACACTGTTGTCTCCGAAGCAAACCAGCTCGCCACTCGTCTTCACGACACAGGTGTGAAATGCTCCTGCAGCCACGGCAACGACCGGACCCAGCTCTGGTGGCAAAGCATATTCAGTTTTGCCGAAGCAGACGAGCTGTCCAGCATGACTGATGGCATATGTTGCGACTCGAACTGCGGCCACGGGGCTTGCTTTCAAAAGGCGCCATCCCAGAAAGGGCAGAACGTGCTGGGCCCAATCTGTCCGACGAACGTGGTGTTCGAGCAGCAGAAGGTTGTACATGTCTTGTAGAGTAACGTAGTGGTTGCTGTCTGCCAGCAAGCGTAGAGCCATGTTGCAGGCAAGTCGTTCGTCCCTTGCTCCCATAGTATCCTATATAGTGCAGCCTCGAGACGAAAAACGGGGCGCATTCGACCGCTGTTGTTACACTTTTTCCACATGGCGTTGAACCTTGCCAGCGGACATTACACGTGCCCGGCAGGTGCCCTGTCCTTCCCAAGCTTGTCCTCCACTGGAGCGAGGTCTGCGCCGACCAGTGCCTGATATACTATCAAGGAAGTGAGCTCGAAACATCACGGGCTTGCGATGGGCCCGAGGACTACGGAGGGGCCTTTCGAGGTCTGCGGGCGTGGAAAGTCATGTTGACCGCTCAGCTTCCTGCAGCCTAGTTATACGATTCGTACTTGGCAGTTTGCTGTGTCTGCAGCGGAGTCTGCAGTCATTTCTGCAGGTTTGGAAGGCGTGCGTCCTAGGAAGCAGCTTCGACAGCAGCTGCATTGGCAGCCAAATACCTTCGATGCTTCTACACCCTGATAAATCCGTTAAACCCTAAACCCCTAAACCATAAAAGAAAACCCTAAACCCCTAAGCTCCTTAAAATCCCAAAACTTAACCCCAGAGCCTCTGAACCCTATTGGACCCTAACAAACTCCTCTCGACCCAAAACTTCGTACGCCCCAGACCGCAAGATCTGTTACAAGGTTAGGCCCTGCAGTCCCGCAAGACCCACTGGCACAACTCAAAGGACTTCCGGGCTGAAGGTTTCGACTTCAACCCGAAACGACGTTGAACGATCTGGCTCGGACACCATGGTAGACTGCACCGACGGCCTCATCAAGGGAATCAGAAGTTCATCACCAATGAATTTCCGGATGACAACACGCAAAGCACACACCCTCACCAAGGTCTCAAGTAGAGGCCTTACAGCAAAAAAGCCCATGAAATCAGACAAGATCCTGTAACCAACGTTGCCCAGAAGGATCTGTGACAGCTTACAGCCATCCTCATCCGAAACTGCAGTGACCCAACTCCAAACCCAGCCGTGACTCTGTTTCTCTGCCGTGCTACCGTCCAGCAGCACCCCACATTCCCAAGTCCCGAAAGGAAAGCATTCTGAAGTTTAACCCACGCCATCAGAACCAGAAATCAGTACAATATTCCGTAGGTCAATCCTTAAAGCCTGCATTCCCACACCCAACAAGCCCCACCCAGAGACGCTACAAAAGCAATCGACAGCAAAGCCAGCGTGAAACACTGAAGGCGTAAAAGCCCCGAACCCGACGTCCAGAACCCTATAGATCCCCTTGAAAAACTCCTACACTACACAAATCCCAAGGACACGTTTACAAGATCACAACATGAAGCACTGTTGCAAGACAACCAACCAAGCTTCTAGGACTCCCAGCTTGGGAACCGCAGAGGCGCTGAAAGGACGGCCTGCCAAGCACCAGGTCGCCACGGCAAGGCTGTCAACAACACTTGGGTTTTTCTCTTTAGGGTTTAGGGTTTAGGGTTAAACAGATTCCTTGTTCCGACCCCTACATGAATTATCACATGAATTAGCATTGCCTGAAAAGCCAAGTAGCCCAAAATGACAGACTACCATACCCTAATGTAGCCCATAGTTGGCTCAAAGTAGCCCCTAAATACAGGCTACTGGCTTTCCAGGTGGTTTGTTAACATTATAGGTTTTTTAGGGCTCGGGTTGGAGGTGCAAGTCGTCCGGGGCTCTCTGAAGCTTCCATACGACCTCCGAAGTCCCAGCTCCATGAGCGACACCCTAAACCCTAAACCCTAAACCGTTCCTATGGCGACGTTCCAAAACTGCATGGATACAAAGCTTGTGATTCCGACAACAAATTACAAGCACTACCAACACTGCGCGCTTTGCCAAAACTTTGTGCTTGATGATCTGCACACAGCTCGCCCAGCGAGACGGTGAACTATGAAACCATTACATCTGCGGCGGAGGAAGCCAGTAATTAAACATCCTGAGCTGAAGAATCTCGAACGACTTGCGGCCTAAAGTCTGGATGCACATTGGGTATGACGACTGTTTGCGCTGCGTTGGGGTCCGGGTAGAGGCTTGAGGGTGCTGTTGCCACATCGCGCGCACACTCCGCAGCGCCAGATCCGGGGAGCCCAAATCAAAACTCTCAACAAAAAGGGGATCAACTCCAAAAGGCTCAAGGCCCGAAGACACAGTATGAACCCCCTAACCCTCTGGCCCTATGTAGGGCTCAGGTCTCTCCGAAGCCATCACGGTTGCATGCCGCGACTTGTGTCACCCCAAGGCGCCAAACCAACTGTGCGAATCTAAAGAACAAACCTTAAATCATGCTTTTCGAGCAGCCCTTGGGGCCCCGAAAAGCTTCCTTCTACCAGCTGCCCCGACTCTGAACCCTTCTTCCCTGGCTGCATTTCCCTGCCGCGGGGCTGAAAAGCCATGCTGCAGCGCCAGCTGGCTATCGGCGCGTCCTGCCGGAGCGGAGGGTCTCTTTCGAGTCCAGGGGCATCCAGCAGCTACTCCCTGGCTTCAGGATTCGGGCGAGGGCTCCCAGCGACCAGCAACTCAAGAAATACATGGTCGGCTCTAACTCTGGCGGAAAGCCACCACATAACACAAGATACAGTGTTGGTGACTATATCGTGCAAGATATTCAATATTTATATGGCTTATCTGGAGTTAAAGGCCCCTTATACGGAAATCATGAGCTTATCTGGAGTTATAAGGCCCCTTATACCCGAAATCGCATCTTCTTGCGCACGAAAAGAGCGAAAGAGACGAATGCGAGTCGGTGAGCGACTCCTTCGGCTTCTCCTTTCGGAGGCGGCTTGCACCAGTCACTCCGCAGAGACAGCCAAAAAGAGAGGCGGCCCCTATCTCGTGTCGAAATCTTACGATATATCCGATATAGGATATATATATAACTTGATTATAACTCGAAGGAGTCAGATGAATATGCTACGCATGCGATCATCATTTTGAGTGGTGCCGCAGCTTCCAATTCCGGCTCACAGCCACGCCTCTGCCACATAAGTGGCAGGCAAGAGCTGTACCGTGGGCTGCAAAATTTCTTTCGTCACACAATTTGTTTCGTCACAATGATCATCAGAAAGACAAGGTCGGACATCCGGCAATGGCTTTGATTTTACCATGTGGGCTGCGCCCGCAGGGAGCGCATGGCACATAGATCAGCCCAAGCGAGGTCGCACTCTGCGCGGGTTCGCGCCGTGGAAGCCCTGACGCGTCCGTGCCTCTGTGGTGGATTGCGTCACGGAGCTCGGATTGCGGAGCGTGTTAGCGGGAATGTGCAGGAAGGAGCTCCTAACCACCACCACTTCCCCATCTTCGCCTGCAAAGCCGATGTCCCGGGAGTGTCTCGACATCACGCGCAGGCTGCGTTTCACCTGCAGGACCACTCGCCTCACCTCTTCCTCCAGGTTTGCTGCGACGAAGATGTCGCACGACCTGAGCCGCAGGGTGGACAGGTGGCCGCGGATGGCTCGGAAGCAGAAAGGCTCCATGAAGATCTTGGCGCCAGAAGGCTGCAAGTGCCAGTCGAAGCCCTCGTCCTGCAGGGCCTGCCGATATGGCTGCAAAGCAGGAGACTGTTCTAGATATGCGTCCAACTGGGGATGCGAGCGGCTCAACGCCAACTGCACCACCCGGGTGAGTCCGGCAGGCATCTGAGGCATCTGAGGCTGCAAGTCGTCGCCATGCCAGCCGGAACCGATGTTGTGCTCAATCCACGATGCTTCCTGCTCCGCCACGATTGCAGCGCCCTCCTCTTCCGAGATGTCGGCGG